GGTCATATGGGCTTCCACAAGACGTTGGCTCGTGTGAGCCGCCTGTACGTCTGGCCGAAGCGCAAGGACTTTGTGAAGGACTACGTCGCAGAGTGTCCGACCTGTCAGGAGGTGAACAGTGCGAACCACTTGCCTTATGGTTTGCTCCAGCCTCTTCCTATCCCTGAGGGTCGTTGGCAGTCCATCTCGATGGACTTTATCGGTTCTCTTCGTCCTCCGACCCCTCGCGGTCATGATGGTATCCTAATCGTCATCGACCGCTTCACGAAGCGTGCACGCTTTGTTCCGTGCCGCTATGCCATCAGTGCACGTGAGGTCGCCGACATCGTGTTCGACCGAGTCGTGTGTAACCACGGCTTACCTCTGAACATCATATCTGACCGTGACCCACGCTTTACCAGCCGATTCTGGCGACGACTCCACGAGGTATACGGCACTCAGCTCCGCTTCTCCTTGTCTTACCATCCTCAGACTGATGGTCAGACCGAGATCACGAACAGGACTCTCGGAGATATTCTTCGAAAGATTGTTCGTGACGACCAGCAATGGGATCTTCATCTTTCCCACGCGGAGATAGCCTACAACCACGCCGTCTCGCCAGCCACGGGGATGTCGCCTTACTATTGCGACCTCGGCTATCACCCTCGTGTTCCCGCGGACTTCCTTCGACCGTCCCAGATGCACCCTGACACGAGTTGTCCCGCGCTGGATGATTGGGTTGCACACATGACGTCGATTATGAAGACCGCACATGAGCACATAGCCGCTTCCCAGACTCGCATGGCAGCACGTGCGAACCGATCGAGAATGGAGCATCCATTCAAAGTCGGTGATGATGTGCTTATTCACGTCCGTCACTTACAGCTCGAAGCGGACACGCTTCGCAAGTTTCGGCGTCGCTTCTTTGGCCCATGCCGCATCCTCCAGGCCGTCGGTTCTGATACGGCATCTAGCCCGGTCAGCTTTCGGGTGAAGCTGCCTGACTACCTACGCCAGGCTCGTGTGCATGATGTCTACCACGTCTCGTTACTGCGTCCTTACCGCAGACCGTCTGATCGTTTCTCTGCACGACAATACGAGCGCCCTCCACCCATCATGGTGGACGGTCACGAGGAGTTCCTCGTTTCAGATATCATTGGTCGCCGAGTCACCGACGACAACCCTCTCCACGTCGAGTATCTCGTACGTTGGAAGGGTTACCCTGATGAGGAGGCTACCTGGGAGCCCCTCGAGCACTTGCAGCACGCTCGCATGTTGGTGCGTGCCTATGACCGCGCTCGTCGTGCTGGGTTCACTGCTCCTCCTCAGCCCACTGACCCTGCTCCTTCTCCTCCGGCTGAGGAGACCGCTGAAGTTGAGCCTGCTCCATCTGAGGCAGACCTTCAGCAGCAGCCGGATGCTTCTGAGTGTCCACAACGCACTCGTCGTCGTCCTGCTCGATACGACGATTGACTCTGAATTATCTTCTCACGTCTTTGACTTCTCAGTACTCCATCCACATCAGTTTTGTTACTTCAGCTCGTCGACGCTGCAGCTCTTCCTCGACGGCATTCCGGACTTCTCATCGTGGACGTCATTGGCAGCTTCATGGACTTCATCACAATCAGCTCTGCCTACTTTAGACGTCGCCACTCTCTTACCACTCTACCCTGTACAGTACCCTGCTTGTGTCGCATGATGGTCTCCTTTTAGCCGGGTTCCTCTGAGTTGGGCTCTCCCTTGGTATACGCATAGGCATCGGGACCGTAGCGTTGCCCTGGCTTCCCATCTTACGGATCTAGCTCCGACCTCCTTCACTTTAGGAGTCATTTGCATGATTCCCTTACCCATCATCTTTCTATCCTTCGCCGGCCCTCACGCCCTAGTTAGGCAGCCCCGCATGCTTCATCTAGGTGCGCCCAGTATACCAGGCTCCCTTGTCGCCCAGTATACCAGGCTCCCAGATAGTAGGCATCTTTCCTCCATAGCGGTCATCCCTTAGTCGAGCATTACCCGCCCTGATGGTCTATCTGTTAGGGTCATTGGTTCTGTTCGCTCCCAGTTCCTTACCCTCATTAAGCCTGATGACATGTGTTTTCCCCTGTCACTATGTGTGGATGCCCTTAGGAGTTTTCGACCCCTAGGCTGCATTCGCCACTCTCAGAGACCATCCCACCCTTTGGTTTGCGGCACACTTCTCATGTGACATATGGTTGTCTTGTTGATTGCTTTCTTGCTCTCAGACTGAGGCTACTGCCTCCGACATTTCTAGGATTTAGCTGTTCTGCTTTTGCTGTTCTTAGGACTTATACACTAGTCAGTTGTTACCAGACTGAGGCTAGTGCCTCCAACATTCTAGGATCTAGTTGTCACTACTTCTGCTTTCCTAGGACATGTATCCTAGTTAGTTGTTTTTGCTTTCCTAGGACATGTATGTTAGTTAGTTGCTTCTGCTTTCACTTAGGCTGTTAGCTGTGACATTGCTATTTTGTGTCATTTTATATCCTAGGTTGCATCGCATGGACTCAGCATAGAGCTTGCTCCGCATCCTAGACTACTCAAGTTTTCTTTTCTTTGGTAGAGTTCCGCTTCTTGGCGGAAGCATGTTTGTATCTAGGCGATCTATCACAGGCCGAGGATCGTGTAGCGGACCTCAGGTTGGCTTGTGAGACCAGACCCTTGGCCTGTTCTCACAGACCTGTGTTGTATTCGGGGTAGGCCAGTCCAGGCCGGTACCTCTGTCGGTACCAGCCAGTCCAGTCCAGTCCCGTCAGTCCGCTGGGGTATACCCCAGCCATTGTCTGTTTTCAGTCTCATTCTTCACTTGCACATTTTGGAGTACGTGCGTTGGAGTTTTGCGTGGGGAGCTGCGTTGTGCACCTTGCTCCCTCCTTCTTCCTCCATCTCCATCTCTGTCACTAGTGGAGCACCACACCTGGTGGGTCCGCTACACGTTCAAACGGGCAGGAGCCGCGTTCAAACGCGCTATGCGTCACATGGCGCAAAATTTTTGAACGCGACCCCGCCATCCGCATGGGTGTGACAAACTATTTTCTGTAATCGCACGACTTTCTGCACGAAGCGGCTTCGGGGGTTGGGAACTGGTTGGTCGGGTGGAATGCATAGATAGGGGTTGGTCGGACAAGTTGCATGGATACCCTCGCTTCTTTCTTCTTTTTTTTTGCTGTCGGGACCAGGTCCGGGAAAGTCCCGCGCCGACGATTGAGTGACCGTGCCTTAGTGAGCGTGATAAATAACGGTTGCCATAGCTTCTTTCTTGTTCTACTGTGGAAGCAAGGAATTTTGGTGCAATTAGCGCGCGGGAATGTCGTTTTAGAAAAATAAAAAATAAAAAATAACAGCGTTTTTTTTTTTTTTTTTTTTTTTTTTTCCCCTTCCCCCGTTGATTGATTGATTGATTGGTTGGTTAATTGATTGGCCCCACAGGCGCGCACACACACACACATAGGTAGGATTGTATATTTCTATGTTCTAGCCGAAGATTCATTCGATTTTGCTTTTTTTTTCTTTCGTTGATTGATTGATTGGTTGGGGCGGGGTCGCCCCCCCACCTCCAACAGGCCCACACAAACACACACACACACACACACATGAAGTGTTGTATATTTCCATGTTCTAGCGGAATATTTATTCGATTTTGCTTTTTCTTTTTTTTCGTCGATTGATTGATTGATTGATTGATTGATTGATTGATTGATTGATTGATTGATTGATTGATTGATTGATTGGTGGGGGCGGGGTCGCCCCCCCACCCCCAACAGGCCCACACACACACACACAGAGGAAGTGTTGTATATTTCTATGTCGTAGTGGAGGATTCTTTCGATTTTATTATTTTTTTTTCATTGATTGATTGATTGATTGATTAATTGATTGATTGATTGATTGATTGAGTGGTGGGGGAGGGGTCGCCCCACCTCCCCGCCACCCACCACGCGCGCGCACACACACACACACACACACACACACACACACACACTTA